CGGTGCATCCATGGCTTTGGCGGACGACGGCGACTCCGAGGCATAGCTTGGCAGACTATGCATAGGGTGGTAGAGATGGGCCTCGCTTAGAGAGTTAAGTAGAGCGGGTGCGCTTTACCGGTCGGGCGGTGGGCTGCGCGGCGGCGGACGCGGGCATGATGGCCGCGGGCCGCGCGGCGGCTGCACTGGGCGCGGCGCCGAGCGTGGCGGGCACGGACACGGCGCACGGTGCGCGGCGCGCGTGGGGCGCGCCGGACGTGCGTTGCACGGTGGGCGTGGCAGCGGGCGCGGCGGCTAGCGATGATGGGAGGCGCTCGTGTCGGAATGCCATGAACTTTGAGCGATCAGGCACGACCAATGGGACGTGCTTTTTCTTTATGTCCCGCACGCGCGAGTTGATGAAACCCACGAGCATCGCTGCCGCCGCCTTGGCGCCCTTCAAAGACTTCGGCAGCAGGACCGCCTTTTCGGTATAAGCCAGCGCGAGCCGCTGGAAGACGAGTTCGTTGAGCACCTTCGCCACGCCCCGCTTCTCCAGCGCGTTGTCCGGGCCCTTGAGGAGGGCGCGCTCTTCGACCGTCGCAAACGCGTTGTACCACTCGGGAATGTGTCGGGCGATGCTCTTGTCCGACGTCGTCAAGCGCGGCAGGGCGCCGCTGCGGCGCATGTAGTCGATGTATAAGTCCAACGCCTTGATTGCCGTGATCTTCTCGTACGGGCCGACGCCGCGGTGCGAGACGAGGAAGCTGGGCGGCGCAGCAATCGCCCTCTGTGCCGGCGCCGGCATCGGCGCCGTCTCCCGCAGAGTCAGCGTGGTGGCGCCGTCGGCTTCGTAGGCGCCCTCGGTCGCGCGCGCCTGCGCCGAGGCCGGCGCCTCCGTGGCCGTCTCCGCCGCTGCCGCCGCCGGGACCGGAGCACCCGGCGCGACGCCGCCGGCCTGGCCTCGGAAGAGCGCGACCAGCGTCGACAGCTGGCGCTTGACGTCGTTGAGCGACTCGCGCATTTGCGCCGTCGACTCCTTTGCGTCCGACATCTCGAGGCCGAGGCGTTCAAAGTTGGTCCCGAGCTGCTGCACCGAGGCGACGACGCGGACCGCGAGTTCGGCATCCTCGTGCTGGAGCAGGTGGGGGTTGTCCCGCTCGAACTTGGCGCGGACGAGCAAGGACCACTCCTTGAGCGTCTGGTGCGCGTCGGCGGCGGCGGATTCGCCCGGTCGGAAGGCGTGGATCCAGCACTCGCGCATGCGCGCGAGGAGCCACCCCATCTCGCCCTTGCGCTCGCGCGCGGCGTAGTACATGATGAGGCTCGCGAAGGCGGCCACGGTCGCCGGCCGCAGCGCCCCTTCTGCCCGAAACGCGGCCGGGCTCGCGGAGTCAAAGCGGAATAAAGCGCCCTGCATGGCCTCGAGCTTGCCGGCGACGACGCCCGTAGCAATAAGCGCGAGGAGCTTCGCTGGGACCGTCCCCTTGGAAGAATGGCCCCACGACGGCGCCGGGAAGCCCGAGAGGACGACGAGGCCGTTCATCAGGCCGGCGATGGTCGGGCGGAAATACTCGAAGAACGCACTGATGCTCACGAGGCTGTGGCCCATGGTTGCGGTGGCGAGCTCGATGGGCATAGTGGCGAACAGCGCGTTGACGGCACCCACGCGGAAGCCCGCCCCGTTCAAACCGGTGCTGAGCCCCTTGTCGGCGACTTTCTCGTACTTCTTGGAGCCGCCCTTGAGCACCTGCTTGACGAACACGCCCAGCTTCGAGCCCGCCGATTCCGTGCCGCAAAGGCACGGGAAGAGCCAGAACGTCTCGTTGCTGTCATCGTCCACGTCGAGATCATTGCTATTGAAGCCGACCGCAGCGAGGTAGTCGCCGAGGCACGTGAGGAAGCAGCAGTCTCGCTCGATGCCGGCGCCGAAGGCGGCGAGCTTGACCTTGGCGACCTTGGACTGCGGAATTTCCGCGACGAGGCATTGGAAGTGCACGTCCCAATGCAAGCTGTCGAGCGTCACCCACCTGCACTCGCCGCTCCGGCCGGCGGAAAGGTGCGCGGCAAGGAT